CTAGGTAAATATTTAATTATATATAAATATAAAAGATGCAAATATAAACTATATAATATAAATATAAGAGAATAATAATAAATAATAATTTTGAAAGGCATTTTTTCTAATATTTTTCTAGTAGGAATATATTTTACTGGAAAATATTTATTAAATATTTTCTTAGTTAGCATTTTTCTTTCCTAACTTCGCTTTTCCAATCCATTCTAGTTCCATGCTATTAAATCATCGTTCTTTTCCGAAAGATATACTCTCATCCAACTGTGAGAGACTTCTTCTCTCGTCCATTTATTTCACTTTACGAGTCTACCATCGCCGGACAGACGAATCATTGATTTTCAGATTGAAGTGTCACGGCGCTCTTTGTTTTACGACTCAAACCGATGATCGTAACTCGATAATTCAAGCTTGATCATTGACCGATAGTTGAGATCGGTGGACCTGATGTCGTCAAAGAAATGAAAGAGAAAGAATTTATTGCACATATTTTCTAACATCTATTCTTCAAAATTTCATCTGCTTAATATTTTAGATTCCGCGCTCTTAACTTTTATCAGTCAAGAGATATATTCACACACATCATCCTGCCTTTATCTATAAATATAACTACTTTTGTTAAACATTTGTATCATTTTACTTCAATTTCGTAATATAAAATACTGTGACATAAAAAATAATATTGTATAAATTCTACAAGTGAAAACGTATATTCCTTAAATTTCGAATTTTTTTCGGAGCCAGCCAACCGATCTCAACTCGGCTTTCGAGAAATGTCATTAGTGAGGGCCCACTGGATCCTTCGTTTCTACGAAGCGAAGAATCGGCCTTAGCAAGGGTATACGATGGAGAAGGGTAATCGGGGATCAAAAGAGAGAAAGAGAAAAAAAGAGGAAAAGAAAGAGATAAACTGAAAAAAAGAGAAAAAGAATTTAGGAACAGGGCGAGCCCACTCGAGAGTCGGTACCCCAATAAATATGAAGACAACAACAACGAAGGTGCCTGTTGTGCGTCCGGAACAGGTTGGAGCTAATTCAGTTCCCCTGTCCCCCTTTTTCTACCTTTCTCGCAATGTTTCGTCCTCTGCCTCCTCCCTCGCCTCTCCTTCTCTCCTTAAATCGCTCGATTCAACGTTTTTTATTCTACCCTTCCCTTCTGCATTAAGCTTCTTTCCTCCCTTTTGCCCCTCTTCCGCTCTCGTCTTTCTAGTATAGCTCCTTTTTCTTCTCGCGCCACTCAGCGGCATGAGAAGTTTTTGTTCACCGCTGAATCTTTCTGGCCCAGTCTGGCTTTTTTTAGGGTCTTTTAAAAAATAAATCTTTAAAAATTTAAAAACTTAAAAAATTTTTTAATCTAAAAATCTAAAGATATAAATATTTCAATATTGGAAAAGATCAACAATTAAATAAAACAATTGAAAAAATATATTTTCTAACTATTCTGTTTTAAAATTGAAGACTAAATTTTCACATATGCTTATTTTTACAGTGCTGGCAAACCTGCGAATTCCTCGGTCCTTTTGACAACAAATTGAGGCTTGAATTCTGCAACAGGGGCGTTTTTTTTAATGTAAGTAAAAATAAGATAATGTTCTATACTCTTGCATCTCTTTCTCTCTCTCTCTCTCTCTCTCTCTCTCTCTCTCTCGCACCCTCTTTGTTTCTCTTTCTTTTCTTTCTCTCTTTCAAATCAAGCTGTTTTGAATAAAAAGATTTTCGACAAATTTAATCAAGATAAATCACATGCATAATATACTTGCTTTCAATTTCAATTTTTTTTTTAACTTTAATTTAGCCAAAATTTCGTCGAGTGACCACTTTTCACTTCCAATCGTTGGTTTCATTGAAACATCCATCTCAACGACAGGTAAAACATTTGTCACATGATCATTATTATTGATTAAATAGCATTAGATATAATTTTTATTCCTATAATATATTATTTTATTTAATATTTCTGATCTTTTCATATCATTTTGTTTAATTTTTTTTCTACTCTTATATATTTATATTTATATTCATATATTAATTATATATACTTTTATGTTAGTTATAATATATTTTGATATATCGTATACAATATTATAATATATTATCTCAATATCGAGAAAAAACATCTCAAAAATTTTTCTCACCATAGTTTTCGTATCGCAACTCTCTCTATAATAAACTTTTCTCACAATTTTTTTAAAGACGGATTTGCGCAAAGTTTTAAATCATCTGTGATCGCGGTCTCGAATTTTCAAATATTTTTTGTATCTTTTTCGGGTATACAGGTAGGTCAATATTCTTCTAGTCCCTCGTTTTACCTTCGAGGCGAGAATTGAAACTCGATCAAGCGCAAAGAAAATCTGGACTGTCACTCGAGGGTAACTTTCGATTTCATGGAAAAGAAATGACGGTCTCGCACAATGAGAATAGTTTAAATTTAGGATAGACGGCAAAATCTTTGGAAACGGCTACCTGTCTATTTTCACGGAAAATCCAGACAAAGTGTTAGCGCCAAAATAAAAAATCGGCATCTCCTTCAAATATTTAGAAAAGAAAATGATCTTTTCTTAATTTTAATTTATTGCGAAAAATATGTTAGACTTCTCAATCATAACAAATAAAATTTGATAAATTATCGTAAAATATTCTTATACTCTACATTCTATAACGAACGCCGAACACAACCTCATTCAAGCTATCATAAAACGTAAACTAAGAACGATAGCGTCATGCTCGTGATGTGAGAAAGTTGCTAAAGAATCCCACTTACATAATGCCACAAGGCAGATGGCCCCACGTCATTGCATTCGGGCGCTTTTTTAAAAATTCGGTTTCTTTATGGACAGCCCTTGTAATTTTTTTTTTTTTTTTTAAGTTTTGTAATCGTCGGGAATCCGTATAAACTATGCTACATGGATGAAATATAAATATAGTGCGTTTATCGATCTCCTAACATTTTTTTTTTCTTTCAGTGCTCGAGTTGCGAAATCGCCTGTACGTTTTATCGAACATATGGGATAGAGGAAAATCAATATGATCCGACCAAATTACCGGCGCCCGAGGAAGACGAAATTATCCGCATGAATAAACACGACATGGCCATAACACTGCGCAAAAATCTATTAGGAATATGGGAAATGGACAAACATTATACTGCGAATCAGAAGATTGAAATGAAACCGGGCAACTGGATTATCATCACCAACGAGAATGGAGCGATCAAACATTATAGGTATGATATGATTGTATTTCTTGTTTTCTTCTATCGCAAATGACATCAAGTAAATTAACTTTTTTCTTTTCTCATATTCGCGGTCTATAAAAATATAAAAATTTTTACATTTGATTAAATTTTTTCATATTTTCTACATTTCTACATTTATTTGTTGCAACATCATAAAATCACTCTTATAATAATAATTATTACAGTTGGGAAAAGTGGTGGCCTACATTACAGTCTCTCAAGGATGGTCCCTTGTTTCAAGCTAACATTACGTGGATGGACTGGCAGACACAACTGAATAAACAACGCGAAGAAATTAGCTTACCTGGGGATAAAATCTTCTTGGAACTTCGAAATAAAAAAAAGAAAAGGATCAGACCATCTTTCGTCGTCACTTGGCAAGAAGAAACGGGAAACGGCATTATGGGCAACCAGGTAATTCAGATTTATTAACGTCGATATAATTTCGATTTTTCTCTTTAATTCTACTTCGAGAAATAATATTTACAAGTAGATTTGAATTAATTACTTATTGAAAATAGTATTACATGTTGAAATATATTTACTTATTGGAAATAGAATAATAATAATCCAATAATATTATGTCGAATAGTAATATTCGGATATTCACAAAAAGAGATTTAAAAAAAATTTTATATATATATAAGTTTAAATAATCGCGGATTAGATAGTGAATTATTCACAAAAAGAGATTAAAAAAAAATTTTATATATATATATATAAGTTTAAATAATCGCGGATTAGATAGTGAATTATACATTATAATTAATATATATAATTATATATATATGAATATTCACTTCACGTGAATATATATATTAAATTTAATCTTATTCTTATAGGTAGCAGATAGTGAATCGGCGCAAATTTCTTTGCCACCCGGCAGATATTCGATCAGAGTAGCTACCAATGACGGTCCCGGTAGCTATTCGATCGTTATCGACACCGCCAAATACAAAATTAAAAATGAAATCCATCTCTTCATTTGTCGGGTTATCAAGTGGGACATTATACTGAGTGTTCTATTGTGGCTATTAATACTATTACTGGTATTACTTATTAAAGCAATTATTTCGAAAAGACGAAAGAACAAAAACAATATAGAAATGGCATGTCCGACGGCAGCAGAGATGAAGTCTAATAAATGGAATATGATATCATGCTTCAAATATGAGCCGAATCAGACAGATAGTGATATCTTCGCAAGTAGTTATATCGATTATATAAACGAACAATCGTGGACGGAAATGGATATAAACGCAAATGCAGATATGCAAGATGCGAATGTGCAAAATGTGAACGTAAACGTGCAAGATGCGAATGCGAACATCCAAGATGTGACCGCAAATACGCAAAATGCGACCACGAACGTGATTCAGCAGACGTAGAGAATTCTGCTAGAAATTTTCTCGCCCAACTCGGCAAGGATAGCTCAGGGATTTTGCTTCCTCTTATGAGAAAATACTGTCTTCCGCTTCCGATAGCATAAAAAATATGGAAGATAAATAAACGAATATTTCCGTTTATTATGAAGACGGTCAAGTTTCATCTCAACATTCCTCTCTCTTCGCGTGTATATATATATATATTACTTATATTATATATAACAATAATGCGATAATGAAGGTTTTTTCTGTTTTAAATGAGAACCAGTGACAAGTAAAGATAATTAATGATTCGCGCTCCAAAAAAAATTCTAAAATATAATTATTTAAAGATTTTAAAGAATATAAAAGAAATGTCAATTCTATATGAAATATGGGAAGTGAAAAAAATATTCGCACATTTCATCGTTTTCATACGAGAAAGAAAAATACCATAAAACATTTCAATCGAAATGCATCGTTTTTGTATAGCGATGTTAGGTTAGGTTACATCTTATAAAAAAGTTCTTCTTTCCGGAGCAAAATTATTTTAAAAAAGACGAGAGATGCTCGAATATTTTTTATGTTGCAAAATACTGCGAATATTATAAGAACACTATCATTGTAAATTGTTTCATAGTTTTTGTAAAAATTCTCGATAATGAGAAAATGTATGAGAAAAAGAAGAATGTTGATAGATCAAATGTACAAATGAGAGCTTAGTAATGTAGGTGTACGTATAGCAAATAAAAAAATAGCGATATTAGTCGAGAGAGAAAAAAAAGAGAGAAAGAGAGAGAAATTTTACAGATTCTTGGATATTTTTTATGTAATGAAAAATATATGATGGACATAACGCCGTTCTAGCTCAATGTAATGCAACGAATAGACTGAATTCCAAGAGTTCCTATCGACGAAAATTGACAGCCGAGCTCTAAGTATTTATTTGTAAATACACAGCTGCCATCTTGTATAATACTTGTATATTTGTATAATACTTAATGTTAGCAAAATAAATTATAAGATCAACTTTACGCTTTATTTTACTTTATTGTCTATAATATTTTATAATATTATTAATATATGTACTATAATATTGCATACAAATTTTTTCTTAAATGTGTTTTATGATATCGTATTAAATTTTTATTATTTTTATTTTTATTAATACTGTTATTCTATTTTATAGTTATGTCTTTTCTCTGTGCATATAAATGTACATAAAAGGATTTAATCTTTTATAAGAAATTTAACCTTAGAAAAAAAAAACTCGCGAATAAAAACATTCCCGAAATTAATTTTGAAAATTAAATGTATTCTTTTTTTTATCAAAAAACATATATATTGAAACCAGAAATTTTTTTCAAGACAAATTCTAATCGCGTCTTTTAATTTTTAATTTTTTTCTTATTTTATAATAAATTTTAATTTGAGATGGTTTTGTTAAAAATCTCGCAACGATAGAAAGGCTCTTTCGAGCAGAAAAAATCCATGAACAAAGAGCTTTTTGTGACTATGGGATTTGAAAAGGATCTTAAAGGAGACCTTTTTCAAGGATTTTCAAAGATATTTGAAATTGCTCTTCTCGAGAAAGATCATCTCTCTCTTTCTACTTTCTTCATCCTGTCTTTCATCTTGTTCACAAAGTGCATTGAACTCGAATGACGAACTCGCGATGAGTCGACGAAAAACTCGGAGCTGTACCAGGCGAACGTACGCACTCATGTACATACACGCACGCATATGGTGAAAAGTGTGCCGTGACCTCGAACAAGGTCCCGTTATCCTAGGCATCGCCTTGAACGTCTTCATCCTTCCAGTCTTGACTCGGAAGTCAAGCCAAGATGCTGATACCACTGTTCTTCGCTACCTTCCTCGTCAACTTTCCTTATCAACTCGCACAATCAAACGTGAACAATGGATTAATTACGATTACCGCGGTCTTAGGGGCCTCTGTGCTGCCCATCGGATTCGCCGCCGGGCCCAGGTATCGTAAATCACAATCCAGAAATTAATATAGATGTTGAATAGTTTAAAGAGAGTCAAAGATAGTGAGTTATTTTTATATCCCAGATATTTTCTAGAAAAGAAATCTAAAACTTTCCTTTTTATTATTTCTCAAGTTCAAGTTCTCTATAAGACTAGCATTGTAATTTTGAAAACACAAAAAAATTAGTTTATATATGTATTGTGATAAATTATATTGTCTACAAAATATAAAATTGTGAGATATATATAAACATATAATTTTAGATTTGTTATTTTTAATTATCAAGATATCAATTTATTATATTTTTATATTTTTTATATTTTGCAGCAAGATATTTATTATATTAAAATATCTAAGACAATATTCTTTCAACTTTCGATAAAAATAAATTTAAAACTGTTTTCTTTAATTTTATAATTTTTATTACAAGCTTATTTATTATAAAATTTTTAAGTTATAATTATAAAATTATAATCATTATTATATATTATTAAATTCAAGTTCTATAAAATCTAAATTATCAAAAACTGTAAATATTGAAAAAAATTCTTTTTCAATATTGGAAAAATTCCAATTATAAATTTCTAAAATTCTAATTTCTAATTAAATATTTTATTTTATTATTCAAAATTATTTCTTTTGATTACACTATATTAGACTTCATTATAGCTCACTTTCTTGATGACTCTCTCTCTTTTTTTTTCTACCTATTCGACATTTCGTTATCTCCAAAAATGTTTTAAATATTAATAATTTCTAAACCAAATTCACACACACACATAAATGGATAACCCTTTCTATCAATTAATTTCGACATATACTTATACTATTCTCGAACGTCGTTTTCCTTGGCATAATGGCAATTATATTTACACGGAACATTTTTCGAATTAATAAGCATTTGCATATGTAAATTTATTTCTTATATATATTGCGAAATTAAAACTCGAAGAATCTGCGAAAAAATATTTGCGGCTGGCAATGACATATTTCGCAACTTTTACATATTGATGACTGACCGATAGGTATTTGTGTCACTATCTCCTCGTATTAATAAGAATATAAATCCCCGTTATTTATGTTCAATTTATTACTTACATATTGTTCTATTAATATTTTATTATATTTAATTATCTAGATATGTTCCAAAATGGAAAAAGCAAGCATGTGAAATACCGGCATCCCAACACCCAAATTCGCACTATGTTTGCGACGAAGCTGGTGAAGTAAAATGCTTGCCAGGTATATATAAATAATTATACAATTATAAATTAAATTTTATATAATATTATATTAAATGAAATGTTTATATATGCGCAAAAATAAAATTAAACAAAAATTAAATTAAATCAATTAATAGTAAGAATAAATTAATTAATTAATAGTAAAATAAAAAATATCTTAAATAAAAGTGTTATAGAAAAATCAAAGATAATTAAAATATATTGTTTATCTAAATGTGCAACAATATACTGACAAAATATTATTTATTATTTAGGATGGACTGGAGATCTGTGTGATGTACCAATTTGCCGCAAGGGTTGCGATCCCCTTCAAGGCTATTGCCGAAGACCAGGGGAATGTCGTTGTAAACTGGGTTTCTATGGCGAATTATGCGACAAATGCGTGGCCTTGCCAGGGTGTCAACACGGAAGGTATAATTAATCGATTGATATTCAACAACGTGTTGATATGCAACACCGCGATGAAGAGAAAGTACAATTTGACACGAGTACAAATTTTTTATCAAAACAATTTATCATGAAATCTCTTGCAAAAAATTGAATGCAATAAAATATATAATATA